AACAATGCTTATTATTTGTGATATTTCTCAATTATGTAAATTTCGATACAATAATTAGTCATGGACAGTTATATGTTGCTGTTTCTAGAGTAACGAATGATGGCGATAGTGATAGTGAGCCCGGTTCTTCTACTACTAATGTTGTTGTTTCTAGAGTAACGAATCCCAAGGGTCTAAAAATTGTTATTTGTGATGGCGATAGTGATAGTGAGCCCGGTTCTTCTACTACTAATGTTGTATTTAAGGAAGTATTTCAGAATATGTAATAAAATAAATTATTTTTTTCTTATTTTATATTGCTAGAGCATTTTTTTTTTTATATATTACGAGAATCAAATTTTTTTAACACTATTCCCTTTTTAATATCATGCCGCGCATCGCGCGGGTGACGTACTAGTAATAACTAAGCATTGAGTCTGGTGTCGATCGTAAAAATTGTGAAACTTCATATTTATTTTTTTTTTTAAAAAAAATATCTTTATTTAAAAAATCTTGGCTACCTATGTTCTTATCTTCATCTCTCTTACCGCAATCAAATTACTCAATTGCCCCAATACAAAGCAATGTATATAATATATCCAATAGTTAGACTATGTTTGATAAAAATAGTTGATAAGCAAGCCTATAGCTTATCAGATAAGTGTCTAGTCATTTCATAGGTTTTTTCGGTCATCCTAGTCGTTTATTATATTTTTGTTGTTATTTTGATGTGTTTTGTATTTTCGTTGTTTTTTCCTCATTTAGATGTTTCGAAGGTTTTTTTGGTCATCCTAGTCGTTTCTCGTATTTTTATTTTTATTTTGGTGTGTTTGGTATTTTACTGTTTTTCTTCCTGTTTTCAAAGGTGCATGTTCTCCATTTTCATCGACATGCTCGAGGATTGCTTACAGGTATTTATGGATGACTTCTCAATCATTGACACTTATTTTTTATTGTCTCCATAATTTATCTCATGTCCTTGAAATTGAAATGTGTATTGAGTCTAATTTGACTTTGAGTTGGGAAAAAGTCACTTATCGTAAAAAGTGGAGTTGTGATAGGCCATGTAGTGTCTACTTGAGGGATAAAGGTTAATAAAGCGAAGATTGATGTGATTGAAAAACTTCTCCCCCTTGTGAATGTGAAAGGAGTTAGGAGTTTTTTGGGTCATGCTTTCTTTTAGCTTATAAATAATTTTCGAATTTATAGCTGAAAAACTAGTTTATATGATAAAAATTGTTTGGTAAAATTAGTTGATAAGCTAGCTGAAATAAAAATTTCAACCAGCTTATTTCAAAAACTACCCAAAGAAGCTTATCAGATAAGTTTGAGCTTTTTTAAAATACTCGTCCTAATAAACGAAACTAATTTGAATATATAAAACTTATAATCTAATCAAATAAGCGATGAAACTAGGTTGGTAGAAACGATAATCCCCTTTTAACTTTGCTCCAAAACACGACACAGCGATTTAAATTATGCTCCAAAAAATCTATGCTAAATGCTGACGTGATATGTTATTTTAATCCTATCTTACACCATTTTACATTTTATGTGCGAGTTTGCGTTATTTTCACGCTAAGAATTGATATTTCGTTTCAAATAATTGCTTTAAAATAAACTAACACTTCTATTTGATAGCTTAAGTTAAATTAAGTCATGAACTTTATTATTTAATAGTCATATTGAGACATTTATACTTAAAGTTTGTAAGGAATAAGAGTTGAATAGTATTCAATTATTTAGAATTAAAACTTTTAATTTGACTTAATGATTGTTTTTCTATTATGAAAATATATATAATATTTTTATAAAATATAATTTTTATTGTCCACATAGCCAATGCAATATGCAGGACATGTAAATAAACAAAAGACTGGATACAACCAGAAGTTCTGCACATTTTGTCAACATACATAATCCCTTGTTTTCAAATCTTTTTGGAACCCATCAGCTACAGTTATAATATTGCCAAATATCTGAAATTTAGTTGTATGTACTTTGTAGTCCCACTTTTTTCTTCATAATCTATCATGTATTTATGGGAGATCTCGCTGCAGAACTATTCCGTCGGGGTTTGTAACAGTTAGATCAACCTAAGAAGCACAGACACGGACACGGGTACGGCGACACGGGTACGGCGGGACACAGATACGTCAATTTTCTAAAAAACTAGGATACGGGTACGGCGGGATACGACAATAAAAAATATTTTTTTTTTTATTTTTTATATGTAAAAATTTCATTTTAATTGTAAATATTAGTACTTCTATTCAAATAGAAGTAGATTAATCATATAAAAATAGAGTTCAACATTAAAATAATACCAAGTCTCATAAATATATTGAAAACCAATGTAAACATAAGTTAAAAAACAAAGTACTAAGCAAATAAATGATAATCAAAAGAAACGTAAAAAAGCTTGAATGATTGTATCAAATTGAAGAACAGAAGAAGGCTTGAAGAAGGCTTGAAGAAGGCTTGCAGCTTGGTTTAGACTTTAGAGAGAAAAGAAGAGTAAAAGACTGAACGTTCTTTTTCTTGTGAGTTGTGTGGGTTAAGTGAAGTTAATAGAAAAGCATCTCAAGTAATTATTAATTGAGTCAGAGAAATTTAAAAGTCTATTAAATAACCAATAAATAAGATTGTTATCCCAAAAAAAAAATAAAAAATAAAAAATTAAGGGCAATGAAGAGTTGGCGTGTCCTCGGAGTGTCTTCGCCGTATCCCGGAGTGTCTTCGCCGTATCCCGCCGTGTCCATATAAAATTGCCGTGTCCGTGCGTGTCCCCGGCGTGTCCGTGTCCGACACTGCACCGACACCGGTACGGCAGTCCTGGAGGAGTGTCCGTGCTTCATAAAGATCAACTATTCCCGACAATTACATGATGATCTAACGATTACAAACTCCGACGGCATTTCCTTGTATTTAATTTGTTTTGTCAAAATCTTGGCTTTCCTTTTCATCAATCAAATGGGCAGCCCAAATTTTTTTATTTCTTTTAAGGTGGCGTGGAATATGTGGTAGATATGGACTTGATAGAAACTTTGAGATCATTTTAAATTATATCCTTTTGCACATCTGTGTTTTCTTCATGAAAGCTTGAGTTAGCTTGTATATTTCTCTTCTTTTATTTTTTAAATTTAATTTTATTTTGTAATTTTGGACGTATTTAATCAACTTGTGTAGCTATAGTTGCGTAGATTATATAAACACTTGCAGTAGTTACATAGTACTTATTTGAACCTCTGTTTCTTGGACATTTCTCAAATTTTTATTTTTATTTTTATTTATTTTTTTTCAAGATTTGTTGTCTTATATTTAAGCACCATGTCATGCTAGCTATTATCAACAACATATAAACCACACTACCTATAATTTACATACAATTTATTCGACCTTTTTTCGTCAGTTTCTGCAGATTATTACAAGACATCATCATGTACAAGGTGAGGTTTGACGAGCAGGAGATCGATGATCCAATGGACAACAATGGATATGTCGAAATCGATCCAACGGGTCGTTATGGCCGAGTAAGCTAGCTCTTGTTCTGTTTTCTTGTTCATTCTGTTTTCATTAGCTGACTCGAGTAAGCTGCCCGATTTTTCGAGCCGTATATACGAAGTAATTACTGTCGTTTATGGGTATAGTTTGATGAAGTACTTGGAAAAGGTGCCATGAAAACCGTGTACAAGGCTATGGACGAAGAGCTCGGGATAGAAGTCGCGTGGAATCAAGTTAGGCTCGTCGACTTGCTCAAAACTCCCGACGATGTGCAGCGCCTTTACTCCGAGGTTCACCTTCTCAGCACGCTCGATCACGGCTCGATTATCCGATTCTACACTTCGTGGATAGATGTCGATAACCGGTCCTTCAATTTCATAACCGAGATGTTCACTTCCGGCACTCTCAGAGAGTAATTAATTGCCCTTCAATCTAATCTTTTTTTTTTTGCAGTTTTGAATTGTATTAGTTTTTCTTCTTTAGAAGTCAACTTAATTAGTTGAATTTACTCAACTTGGAATAATATTGAAGAGAGCCTGAAAAGGTTAGTTGAGTTAAGGCTATAACTAAGCTTTTAGGTGCTTTCTGGTTCAGGTTGTAATGTAATGTTAGTGACTTTAGTATATTTGTCTGAAAATTCGATACTTATCGGGATTGGTTGGTCTCATCTCACGGGACTCGCCAGGTACAGAGCCAAGTACAAGCGAGTGAGCATCCGGGCCATAAAGATATGGGCTCGGCAAATACTCGAAGGGCTTGTTTATTTGCACGGCCATGATCCTCCCGTCATTCATCGTGACCTAAAGTGCGATAACATATTCGTCAATGGCCATCTCGGACAAGTCAAGATCGGTGATCTTGGCCTTGCAGCTATTTTACGAGGTTCGGATAGAGCACACAGTGTGATAGGTACTTAAAAATCGAGCATATTGTGTTTTTTGAATCGAGTTTATTTGTTTTTTTTTCATCGCTTATTTTCCGATTACCGTATGAAAAAATTTTATAGGCACGCCCGAGTTCATGGCACCGGAGTTATACGAAGAAAACTACAACGAGCTTGTCGATGTATACTCGTATGGGATGTGTGTTTTAGAGATGATCACCTCTGAGTACCCATACAGTGAATGCAAAAACCCGGCTCAGATATACAAGAAAGTGACATCAGTAAGATCGTATTCATAACACGGTAGCAGAAAAATGTTACTAATCGAAACTGAATTTCGTTAAATTGTTCATTTCTTTATTAAGGGTAAAAAGCCGAGGGCCTTCTTCAAAGTCCAAGACTTGGATGCACAGAGATTCATTGCGAAGTGCCTGCAGAACGTGCAAAAAAGGCTGTCGGCTAAGGAGCTGATGCTCGACCCGTTTCTTGAAGTTGACTGTTTTGACAATCGTCACGGGCTGAGTGAAAGTGTCGGGTATCAGAAGCCTTTCCTGAATGAAAGTGTTGAGCTCGAGCGCTTGCAGTTGAACGATAATTTCCCTAAGTCGAATATGACTATTACGGGCACGTTAAACCCGGACGATGGTACCATTTTCTTGAAAGTGCAGATAGCTGATAAAGAAGGTACCTTTTTTTGGGGGGGTTTCATTCTAGTTATCGGTTTTTGTGGATATTTAGCTATATTTTTTAACTTACTTTCCTCTGTTTTTGCTCTCATCAGGTGCCGTGCGAAATGTTTTCTTTCCGTTCGATATAGTTTCCGATGCCCCACTTGACGTGGCGAATGAAATGGTGAAGGAGCTCGAGATTACGGATTGGAGGCCTTACGAAATAGCAAATATGATCGACTCGGAAATATCGGGCCTTGTCCCCGACTGGAAAACCGACCATCCGAGTTATCAACAAGACGAATACGAACACCAAAATCTTTATTCGCCGTCCTCTTCATCGCAAGTCTCGGCTTTAGGCTGGATTCCCTCTCATAAGTTGGATTCTAACTTGTTTGATGACACCAGCTCCCAAAGCTCATCATCACATTCGGAGAAATATTCGAACTGGGCCTACTACTCTGCAGACGAGCACCAGTCCATGATGAGCCCAAACCGAGTGCTGAGCCCGTCAAGGTTCTGCCCTGGGGAGAATCTTTCGAAAAACAAGTCGAAAACGACACCCCAACTCACGAGAAA